GTGTGTGTGTGTGTGTGTGTGTGTGTGTGTGTGTGTGTGTGTGTGTGCGTGTGTGTGTGTGTGTGAGCGAGAGTTTGTGCATCAGTGTTTACGTGTGTGTGTGACCCTGGTTGATTGTGCCGTCTCTGTTCTCTCTGTAGGTCGCTGGAGAGAGTGATGACGTGGCAGTGAAAGACACATATACCTCACTCGCACACACACATATTGCCCACACACACTTTAGGTCTTGCCCTACTAAGACAAAGAGGAGGGGGAGAAAATTCTGCTATGACGGTGTCATTTTTCTCCATTACCAATGTGTGAGCTACACACCCACACACACACTCATACTCCGTGGGGAGTTGCCTTCATGGGGGATAAGGGCCTATCTAGGGCACAGAGATGGAGTTCACATCCTATTCGTTACTTATCTAACACTCAGACAGACGTACACACTGATACACACACCTGGAATCTCATATGTCAGAATTGAAGAATGAAAGACTGAATGGAGAGCAGCCGTTGAACATTTCAGAGAAGACACAAGCGCGAGGCCAAGGCAAAAGAAGATTCCCAGAGCGGGCTTAAAGGACAGAGGGAGCTGCTGCCTGACCCCCCTCCCCCTCTGGAGCTGTATCGCGTAGGAGCCTCGACTTGTAAAGAGCACTACCAAGAAAGCAGGGCGCACCTGAGACACACAGAAAGGGTTCTTCAACGTGGCCCAACAGTTGTCACCATGAGCTGTAGGCTAGAGGGAACACCCCAGCTCTAGCCTCTGTCTCCTCCAGTGTGTGTGTGTGAGTGTGAGACCGAGTGTGTGTATGACTGTGATGGCGGTGTGCGTTTGGGTGGCAGCCCCCCTGCTCTTCCTGGGGCTGTGCCTGTGCAGCGTGGGGAGCCAGGCCCAAGGGGAGGTCCTGGAGTTTGGTGGCGTGTCCAGCCAGTGGGGGCGGTTCCCAGTGTGGAACGCCTGCTGCGAGAGCGTGCTGAGCTTCAGCCTGCGGACTCACAGCCAAGAGGGCCTCCTGCTCTACCTGGACGACGAGGGCTTCTGCGACTTCCTGGAGCTGCTGCTTCTCCACGGCCACCTCCGCCTGCGCTTCTCCATCTTCTGCGCCGAGCCTGCAGAGCTGCAGTCCGGCGTGGCGGTTAGCGATGGCCACTGGCACGCAGTGCGTGTCAAGCGGGACTGGAGGAACACCTCGCTGGAGGTCGACGGGCAACTGGAGGGATGGGCGGAAGTGAAGAGCAAGAGGAGAGACATGACAGTGTTCAGCCACACCTACATGGGCGGGGTGACGCCAGAGCTCCACTCCTCGCCGCTGCGCCTCACAGCCCCTTTGGTTAGGGAACACCCCGCCTTCCGTGGCTGGATCACGGGGGTGAGCGTCAATGGCTCACTGGCGATGCTGGAGAGCTCGGAGGGTGTCACAGTAACAGCTGGCTGTCAGCCGGATCACCAGTGCCAGAACGGAGGACTGTGCAGCGTGGTCAACAACCAGGCCGTCTGCGACTGCTCCAACACCGGATACCAAGGCAACGACTGCAGCAAAGGTAAGGCCCAGAACCATGCTGACCCATCATACGCATCTCATCCTTTACATACGCACACATATATAATATGCACAGATACTTTTGGGGATCCATAACTCCAAACACCTGCAGCGAACTTAACAACATCTATTTTTCATTCACACCTTCACAGCTGCCTTGAATTGGTGCATATTGAACCAGCAGCGTTCCCAAACAGTGCAAGACATGCATACTGATTATCTTTGATATCGATTTTTTTTATGGCTGCAAATGACTCCCAATTTAGTATGTACCTCCAGAACGCAGGAAGCTAAGCACAGGAAGTGCAGTCAGTTTGGTGAAGCTGGTGAGCTTGAGAGATTTAAGACAAATTCCGGAAACTCACTGGAAACCGTTCCCCGGCTGGCAGTTCTAAAGCCCTAATAGGCTCAGTTGGCGTGTTTGGCAAAACACAATAACCATATAGATCCAGTATGGATGTGGTTGTTGGCTCGTGTTGAGAGACATTAATTGGAGCTAGGCTAAGGGGCTTGAAATCAGTGGTTGTTACATGGCAGACACCTGGCTGCCTGTGTTAATGGATTTGCATTGATTCTAAAAGGCCTTCAAAGGGTACAATACATAGGGTGTTGAAATGCAGTGGTTACAGTCCATCTCCTGCCATTCATTTGAACAGCTCGCGGCCCGATAAGATGCTCAGTTTTGTGTATGAGTGAGCATGTGTATGTAAAATGTAAAGTATGTGTTCTTATGCAATACAACAGCAGAAAGAGTCTCCTGTCTGTACTATATAAATATGATGAACTGTGACAATAAAGCACCTGATATAAGAATACAAGTTTTACGTGGTGGAGGCAACAGAAAAATGGAAAGGTTGATGATTTAAAATCTTCAAGAACAAGCCTCCCCTTAATAGTGTCAAACAAGCCTTTGGTCAATACAAGTGCCAATATACAGGCCGCTGTAATGACGGCCATTACAAAAGCAAAGCAGCTGCTTAATGAACTCAGTTACCTTGTTATGGCCGCTACCGCAAATGCGTTCAGTTGTGTGTGTGTCATCAGATTTGCTTCAGTTCATTCAAGAACAAATCTGCATTCTTAATCAATAGCGCTCTCAACTCCTGTGTGTTGTTGTCTTTTTTTTGGGGGGGGGGGGGGTGCAGCGCCAAAGATACCTTCCAGCTTCAGTGGTCGATATTTTAATGACACGAATGCATCATAAATGGCAGAGTGGCCTTGCCATGCCACCGTTTGTCACCGACCTGACCTCACACCCCACCCAGCATCACACCTCCCTTTAGACCCCCCCCCGACCATATCACACTATAGCATTTAGTGGCCAGTGGGATTGCCTAGGTTGCCATGGAGACAGGAATAATAGGGAGAGACCTCATGCTAGGAGTGTTTTCTCCGTCCTTTGCTCTTCCAACCTTACCCCCCCCCCCCCCACACTCCTCAGCCCATTGCTGCCTTCACCAGACTCAGCACGTATAGTGACTTCAGGCATCATGTCTGCCACACAAATCTACTGTATCTACGTGTTTGTGGTGATGAGTGAGTGTGTGTGTGTGTGTGTGTGTGTGTTTGTGTGTTTCGGCATCCTATAGAGGTCTTCATTTTCCAACCAGGTGGGAGAGGTAGCTGGTGCGTTACGCTCAGAAGTGCTGAAATGAGTTGTCGATTGACAGATGAACAATTAATGCTTTAAGTAGAAGTTCAATGATTAGTCAATTGATCAATAATTTCCTTGAGAGAAAGTTATAATTGGTAATTCTTCGAGCAAAAATGCCAAATATTTGCTCGTTCCAGCTTCTCAAATGTGAGAATTAGATTCCTTTCCACTATACTATCGTATATGATAGTAAAGTGAATATATTTGAGTTTTGGACTGGTGGTTGAGTAAAACAAGCTTTCTGAAGACTATTGAAAATCATAACGAAATAATTGTTCACTATTTTATGGCCAAAATGATTAATCGAGTAAATATTGGGCAGATCGTGAAAATAATCATTATTTGAAGCCTTACAATTAAGTTACTTGGAAAGGAAAAAAGCCAAAGATTCCAGCTGTTTAAGCTTCTAAGATGTGAGGATTTGCTTCTTTTCTTTGTTGTATATTAAGCAACTTTGGGTTTTTTACTGTTGGTCAGACAAAAAAGCAATTTGAAGACCTCACCTTGTGCTCTGGGAAATAGCCAGTGACATTTTTCACTATTTTTTGGGCATTTTATAGACAAAACAATCAATTGATGAATCTAAATCATTGACAGATTTAACAGTTTGTTTGCAGCGCTAGCGCTCACTTCTGCACGTGGTGTGTGTGTCTATCTATTGATGAGGCGACAGGTGAAGCTATATGATCAGCTCTCTGCAGGAACTAAGTGCTGCGCTGAGAATTACGTGTGATCCAAACCGGTCTAATCCAGTCTGCTGTTTTTCACTGCTGGTTAGGGCACACTGGGAGCCACAGGCGTCACTGACACGCACACACACACACACACACACACACACACACACACACATACCTGCACAAACACATGCAAACACATGGAGAAACATGTTCACACAGTGTTCAGGCTCCAGCACCACCATTAGTCACATCGCAGTGTAGCTCTATAGGCTAAATGGGAGGTGGAGACATTTTACATAAAGGCTCTCACTAGACACAATACAGTACCTGCTTTGGACGGGCACTTTGTCGCTCATCGAGAGGCTGCTTAAGGGGCTGTTTTATATTCCTAGATCGACTCACATTTCAATTGAGAGTGATGCCAAGTGACGCTGAGTAGAACAAGTGCTGAAAAATTCTTTTTTTTATCTTGACATATGTGGCCGGTGTTAGTAATAGTAGTCTCATAAAATGGTTCCAGTTAGGAGGTCTGCTCCAACAGAGGTACATGGGGTGAGCAGCACTTTATTTGGTTGTGAAATCATAAAGCTTTACCAGAATACATTCTGTTTATATTCTGCATTGGCTTCTCAGATTTCAGATTTAGGAAGAAATTGCAGCAGGGTCTATGAGATAGATGATGGTGGAGATTGAGAGTAGCTTAATGGCTGGTTTCAAAAGGTTACTTTTGTGGCTTTCCATCTGTTACTCACTGGTAGCGGTAATTCATGGACATTAACCCAGGAAAGGGATTCAAGAGAAGGAGCTATTCCAGTCAACCAGCAGCTTTTCAGACAGAAATAAACAGCAGCAAATGGGGCCAGTTAACAAAAGCTAAAAGAGTATTTCCGATGCCTGGTTCTTATCTCAGATCTCTCTCCGAATCACGGACCTCTTTCTCTGAAATAGTTCAGAGATACAGAGAGGGCGAATCGAGCAGATGATGCATTCTTTGTGGACGGTTTAAATTATTTGGAGTGCTGTGTTCTTTCTGACAAATTGCCGGCTCAGTCGGATATTTCTGACCACAGGATCAGCGGGCTGAGCTAATATCCATGCATCAATATCACTACCAGTGAGCAACTCATACTTTAAGTATGTTGTAATAAATCTCTCCTCAGGTGCACCAAGGCGCCCCGGAGAAGAGAATTCAAAGGTTGAATCTGAGAGAAATTAAGTGGATGGCAAAGGGAGTAGGGAATAAAAGCTCAGAAGAAAATAAGTACTATGTTAACACTAACTAAGGTGCTGTGATTGAACAAATTGTATACAGTGGAACCATAGCTGCCTCTTTAGAAATAAGGACCATTTATGACCACATGAGTCCTGTGTAGTTGCTTTGTAAGAGTCACGCAGAGTTGGTATTAAGCTTTACCTCTTATATGGTACCTTGAAAGTATTGTGTGATTTTGAACCCAGCAACCTCATTGAAGCTGCACAATAAAGCTGTGAGATGAAATTATAACCCTCTGAATATTTGAAAAAGAAGTCTGTTATGAATCTTTAATACAGAATGAATGTGCTCTGCTGGAGGAAAAATGTATCCTTGGCACCGCATTTGAAGCCAGAAATGTGTATTTTGACTGTGGCAGTCTTAGTTTCCGTACACATTTACAATTACACAATATCTTCAAGGCTCCCTAATGATCCACCGTTATTCACACTCACACTTTTGCAGATTTGTGACAAGCTTAGAAACATTTGCAAAGTAATATAATACCGTTATATACTGTAAGCATTTCCTTTCTTCTCTGAAAGACAGTATATTACATCTTTCATACCAGTGTGAGGAAAAAGGGTTTTGTTAGTTTTGGAGAAAAGTAATTCAAGATGTAGTGAGGAGAGTTTGGGCAGGGCTATGCATAAATGTAATTACTGTCGAAGCCATTCTGCCCTCCAGTGAAGGCAGAGGGAACCGGGCTTGTTAGGCCTGGCCTGGCTTGTATTGTCCTTGAGGGCAAATTGCTGTTAGCATGCTAATGGCTCCACCTGTTTCTGCCATGCTACTAGCACAAGGGCAGAGGCAAGGAAACACTCAGAAGAGCACACAGCTCGGAATACACACACTTACACACACACACACATGCACACACACACATGCAAACAAACACACACAAACACACACACACACACACACACACACACACACACATTCTCTGTCCCAGTATTGAACCATGCATGTCCCTCATCTTCCTGCACTGCTAATTCATCCCTACATATTTTATATTTTTCTGCTATTTCACATCATTTTTACTGCCGTATTCAATGTTAGTGTATGTGTGTCTGACTCTGTATGTGTGAAAGACACAGAGAGTGAGGCAGAGGTTGTGAGACTGAATGTGTCAGTGTGTGCGTGTGTGTGTGGGTGTGTGTGTGTGTGTGTGCGTGTGTGTGTTGCATGCTGTCTGTCGGGGGGCTCTGTGCAGAGGAAGCAGCTGCAAGGTAAGTTCCGGGGTAAACGGCTCTTGAATCCAAACATACAGGTAGGAAAGTATATTTTCGACCCCCACACCTCCTCCACCCTCTGTATCTACAAGGTGTGTGTGTGTGTGTGTGTGTGCCCTTTTGTAAGTGTACACATGTGGAGTCATACAGAGAGATTGTGCATTTATTTAAATGCAGCTGTGTGCGTAAACAAATATATATATATATATATATATATATATATATATACAGTATATACAGACAAACCTCAGTTTTGGCTACCAGTAAGCATGGTACCCATCGTGACGTTTGCATGTATGTTACCACGGTAACCCTGGACGGGTGTGCATGTACAGTAAGTAGCCATGGTAACCCAAAGGGCTTAGCATGCATGTTAATGAATGTCTGTCTCTCTCTCTCCTCGCCTGGCCGCGACACCTTTCCAGAGCACAGCTACACTCCAGGTAGGTTGCACTTCTATCTATCTGTCTGTCTATCGGTCTGTCTGTCTGTCTTTCTCTCACCTCCTTCTATGTCCGTCTATATTTAACTTTCCCTTCCTGCTCTTTATTCAAACATCTTTGCTTCTATATTTGATTCAGGCTTTTTTACGAGTACTTAAATGTACTCTTAGATACACATTTATTTCGCTCTATCATCATCTTAATATCACATAATATCTCTCCGCTATCTCTCGATTTCTATCTTTTTCATGTCTCGTCCTTTACATCCTTCTTCCTGGCCTTCGTGTTCTCGTTACGTAGTCTATTTCGGCTCAAGGTAGACAGCTTAACTGTATGTTCGTCTGTGTGGGTATGTAGGGGATGGTTGCTGACATCTGGTAAGTTCCACATCCCATGTGCAATCATCTGGAGTGGCTCTATAGCCTCAAGGTTACAAAGACACACTGTAGGCCCACACAAACACTGCGTGCAAATGGCTGTGTGCAGACGTCTGTGTGCGTACCTGTTTGTGCGTAGGATCGCAGCCTAGGATGAGTAAGCAAGTTTTTTTAGACATTTTGAATAATTTAGAGGACTCGTACACACACATGCACACACACACTTTTACGCAGAAGACTCTACCCTTCACCAGCATGTCATTGACTAACTCCTGTATCACAAAACACATAAATACACTCACACACATGCACTCACGCACATTTCACACCCCATGATCCTTTGCTGTGCTGACTGTGCTCTTGTCTTCTTTTAAGGTCTGGCACACCTGATGATTAACGACCAAGGTATGGCCTCCTCTTACCTCACTTCCTGTTGTCTTCTGCTATACCATCACCCCCTACCTTCTCACCCCCCACACTCACAACTCCCTGTATCCCTCCCCCACTCCATCACCACCTGGCACGGGAGGAAGTTGTCTCTCTAGGCACTGAACTAAGGTCAGTTTTTTTTTTTCTCGGTAATTGAGATTTCTTGAAAACTGTCCCATTTGGTCTCATCAAGAACTTCAGTTTTAATTTAAACTGAAATGGATGACTTTTGCATTTGCAGCGGAGCAATTACATAATGATAAATTAAATATGGCCTTAAAGATCATTTTTGGTTCAATTTTTGAAGAGAGTGATGATGAGCCTGAGAGCAGCTTCTGCTACTATAATCATGGCTGCTGATGAAGGAGGGGTTAATGGGAGGGTTTCGGCGGCTGCGGCTTGGCGGTGCTTGGCTGGGTTACACTTGGCAGGGCTCCAGGTCATGGATATGGAGCAAAGGGCCGACTGACCGACTGACTCCGTGGATGGTTTGAAATGGTCTTTACTCTTTCACCTCATTTCATTTTCTCTCATCTGTATGTCAGCGTTTGATCGAGAGGATGGGAGCGTTCGGTGTGTGCGTGCATGATGCATACATACGTGTGCATGTGCGCTTTTACATCATGGTTTGAATCAATGAGTGTGGCAGTTTTCACACGAACACTCCCACATTCATCCATGGCTTTTTTTTTATCGGCTTGCAGCATGTCTTGCTCTGCTGTCGCTGGTCCTCACATGGGCTCCTGATCATACATTGGCGAGCATGTGTGATTCTGAACAGAAGTTCCTGTGTATGAAGGCAATGCTGGTATACCTCAACCCCCAAGTTGTACATTGTTTTTGGTAACAGCCCCCAAAACAAGTGCCCATGTTCTGCCTTTTGAAAATTGTTCAATAATCAACAAAACTTACTCTTCTTGCCCTCTTTCTCCCTTTTTCCTTCTTTGTTCCTGCCTTTCTCACTGTTTGGGACACCAACCTCTGTGAATTTAGGAAAACTCAGAGGTACCCCGTCCCCTCCCTGACTTTTTATTTTTTTTTATGTGTATGACTAATGGGCTGTTCTGGGTGGTTTTGAAGTTGAATGTATTGACAGGCTCTTGTATGTATGGTAATGCAGACCTTTAGAGCCGTTCGGCTTCAAGTTCTCATTTTCCGGTTGCCATTAAATTGGAATGTTTCATTTCGGGTAAGGTAAGCTGATGTTGATGCATGCGTGTGTGCGAGCGTGCTCATACTGAAGCGTGCGTGCGTATGTGCGAATGAATCGGCGCTCCGGCCTCCGGTGCTTTTCAAAATCTGAAGGTAGGTGTTGCTGGATCGGTGGGCTCTGCATGACGCTGATGAATACACTGATTGACCCACATAAAGACAGGCCTGACCGTGACAGGCTGATCTACCTCTATTGTGCTCTTTGATTGGATGAGAGAGGACATGATGGCGGCTGTCTCCCATTGTGACAGGGCCACCATGTAGTCGCTGAAATGTGCTATTTAATGAAATGTTCATCCAAGCTGGAGGATAGAAACATCATGAATAGAGCACAAATGATGTCCGCATCCACCTATCACACTGAGACATCTCTATTCTGACAAGTATATTTCTATGTGGGCATTTTTGTTGTTTTGATCGCTTAATAAGCTCCTATAGTGCTGGAGTTTCTGCCTAAAATATCTGGCATGAATCATCCAGGTGGCAGTGAAAATGTAATTGCTTCATCTGGCTTATGCTCAGCATTTTAAATCACCTGCTTACGGACCGACATGTATTAACATGTGTTTCCAGCATTATTACACAATGTATTCAGCGTATGTGTGTATAGTGGACGCCCTCACTATTACGGATGTTTGGATTGTGATAGACTGAATCTAAAACTGTGGCTGATTTTTATTTAATTTCTTTTTAAACCTTTGAAGTCTCTTTCAAGAACTGTACACATGGAAAAGCCGTATGTTTGTTTGTGCCAGTGTGTTTTCGCTCTGCATACTGAAGAGTAAAGGCTGTCAAATGGTGCAGACGAAGCCTAGCTTAGGTTAGCTCAGCGTAAAGAGGCTTTTTGAGGAGCCCGCAAAGCTGAAATGAGTTTCTTTGAGGGGGAGGATCGGGTGTGGGGAGGGGTGCCTTAGAAATATATATAGCATGTGTATCTGCCTGTGTTTGTGTGTGTGTGTGTGTGTGCTGAAGAAATTGAGAAAAAGAGACTGTGTCTGTGAGAGAAGAGCTAAAGGAATGAATGATAGAGCGAGAGACGGAACGAGGAAGCGAGGGAGAGATAAAGTGAGTCGTCTTCTCTCCTGTGATGTGGAGCAACTGCCTGTATCTGCAAAGGGACAGCGGTGCTCCCGTCTGCCCTCCCAGCCCAGCCATTCTGCAAAGGGACATCAGTCCTGATGGGAAGCCCTGGACCTTTCCCCTCCTTCATAAAACACAGCTATCGTTCTCCCTGGAGACGATACCCACAGATCACTAATCACTTTGAGTGGGTGAAAATGCACGAATTGTGGAGGGAACAAAGAAAAGAGGGAGCCAAATTGGATTTTCATAAGTATCGAGCAGCCAAAGGAAGAGGGGGAAATGGATTTTTTTTTCTTTTTTTGAAAAGTATTGAGCAGCAATAATCTGGACGGAAAATGTGTTTAAAGCCAAGTAGCAGATTTTGCCCTTTCTCTTCTCTCTGTCTGGCCAAGAATAGAGCGTGAAGGGTCCTGGGTGAATGAGTGATTGTAGGTTCTGAATAGGATTGAGGAGCGGCTCTTTGACGTAATTGGCAGCAATGCTCATTTATGATATTTATATAATTATTTTAAGCTGTGAGGCGGGTTGTTCGGTTAGTAACAACTGTCTGACTTGTCTGACTGTCCAAGTGATCTCGATATCAATCCAAGGATCTGTGCACGGCATAGACAAGTGGTCAGCCTTGCTTGAAGTGACCTTTACACACACACTTACGTGAACGGGCGGACACTCACAACACACACACACACACACACGACAACCTTTAGAGAGTGCCCGTTGAGTAGGTGAGTGAGTGTGTGTTCAGTGTAAATATGCATGAGTAAGGCTGCCTGCACATATTCTTCACGGTCAGTGGATGAAGGCAGGGCAGAGAACGAGGTGTGTGTGTGTGTGTGTGTGTGTGTGTGTGTGGGTGTGTGTGTGTGTTTGTGTGAGTGCATGAGTGTATGTTCAGGGGAGGTGGATTGTGAGTCATCACTTGTGACTCATAAAGTGTCGGCAATCAAAGCGGCTCATTTTAACACATTATCTTATGGCAAAAACACACTCGCACACTTCGCTACACACACATGTTCAATGTCACACTGAACATGTGTTCAGTTTTTCTTGAAACTGCGTATTTTTCATCGTCCCTCCACCTCGCTCTCGTTCTCTTCCGGACATCCACATGTGCGTGCTTGTCTCACAATAACACACACACACACTTACACACACGCAGAGGACGGGCGTCGTGCTGACTCCACCATATGTGGGGTTGGGAGTGGTAGCACACGCCAAGACAAGAGGAACCAGTCAGTACCGGCAAAGTACAGCATGTCTCCTACCTCTTACTCATCATGATCTAACAGTCCTGACAATAAATCACACCAGGAGTGATTATTTTTTGATAATGTTCAGGCACTGAAACTAAATTAGAAAAGAGATTTGTGTAATTAAAATGATTATAACTAATAAGAATTTCTCAATTTATCTCTCAGGTCTTGTTTTCAGGTTGTAGTGCTCGAATAGGTTGTGGATTATTATGAAAATGAATTAACAACAATTTCGATCAATGATAAAAAAAAAGAGTCTCTTCTTCTGCAAAACATTCACTGATGCCATATTCTCAGTTGTGAAGTTGTCGTGCTTTTTACATTTTTATCGAATTTATTAGAGTTCTTTTCATAATCGACTAATCTGCTCATTATTTTCTTAATCAAGTCATTGTTTTCTTTATTAAATGACAGAAATTATACAGATTATAATCTCCCACAGTCCAAGTTGATGTAATCTTGTTTTTCTGACAAACAGTCAAAACCCCCAAAATATTCAATGGACTATCATGAATGACAAAGAAAAGCATCAAGTCCTGGTATATATATTATTTACTCGATAATGACAATAGTTGCTGATCTCTTTCTGTTGATTGTCCAATTGATTAATTAACTAATCATTGAAGATTAAGGAAATAATATGTTGGTCTATTGTTGGTAAAATGTCCTCTGGGGCTCTGGCAACCTCGGATATTTTTTACTATATTCAGACACTTTATAGACGAAACGATTAACCAGAAAAGAAATGAACAGATTAATTAAGTACTTTACTGCTCGTAACTGCAAGTAGAAAGCAATGAAGGAAGTTGCCTTATGTTTGTGCCTATCGCTGTAGCGAAGCAACTGTGAATCACATCATTTGATCAAGTTAATCTTAAATTATATAAATGTTACCTTTTTAAAATCACCAAAAATATTTTGTTTGCATTTGCCAGTAGTCTCCAAGTAAAATCCTCTTGGAAGTAAATTCTATAATATACTGTATATTTTTCAATAAAAGATATACGTCAGACACATTGTAGTGTAGCTGTGACGCTTACATAATTTAGCCATACGTACAAGTGAGCAGCACTCGACTCGAGGTGAGAGAGAGCCTCCTGGTGTTAAGAGGCAAGTGTCTGGTGATTGGCTGCCTGCCCGACCGACTGGCATGAATTTGGCTCCTGATGGCCTCATCTTGAGCTGTGAATAATTTAAAAAAAGAAAACTGTTAAAACTAAGTTGTGCCCCCTCTGGCCATCAGCCGTGATAAAGCAATTGCAACAAAGTTTTTACTGCGAAATGCACAATTTTTCTGGATGTACTCTTTGCGCTAATGGGACTAAATCTAAATCTACTCTCCGCTACTAACACCCTTTACAGTTCTAATCTACAACACTCATTAATGCTTAACACCCATGCAAGCTCTTGTAATGAAAGCCACAGCTCCACATACAGAGCTCTACCAGCACATTATCGGGGAGATGCACAGTTACAGAACTCACCATGGGAAATGTGAAGCCATCCCAATAGTAAATGTATACATTTACTGGTAATAGTATGCAATTACCATTCTGTTAGCAAGTAAGCATTAACATATTCGCACATTCACAGCAACACTAATAGAAAACACACAAAGCGTATGCACCCTGTAATCGCCCTAAAAATAAAGACATCAAACGGACTCCCTATTTACAGAGGATGAAGGGAAAAAAGATAGAGCGGAGGCTGCGCTGCAAGTGTGTAAGGAGGGGCGCGGGAGGAGGGGTGGGTAAAGGAGTGTAGAAAAGCGATGGTGAGGAAAGATAGGAGCGCGTCTCACAAAGTAGGAAAGGAGAGGTGGAAAGAGAAGGTCGGAGACGCAGAGGGAGACAGGAAAGGAGATAAGACTGCAGCGTTTCTCAGCAGGGGTGCTGCATCTCTCCTTGGGCTCCCCGACTTGACATAGTCTCGCATCAGCCAGGATGGTATTCATGAGTGATGCAGATACCTCACGCTCACACACACACACACACACACACACACACACACATTCCCTTTTTAGAAAGAAAGCGAAAGAAACAGGCAAGCCGGTGCTCCAATTGTCTCCTACCTGTTCTAGCACTTTCCATTATGTCTGCGCGGGTGCCGAGAGTAGTGGCCCAATTGGCGATTCACTCCAGTACCCCATCTGGCATTTCAAGTTCATTTCTTTGCTGTTTGCCAAAACAAGAACAAACACATGAACAACAATACACGCACTCTCACTTGACGGGCGTTGCACACCCACAAACACTCATTTACTTGTGGTGCTTGTCTGGAAATAACTACGGAAACTGAAATGGCCACAGCGTTCATTAAAAACCCAATACATTACCTTCATGAAAAGAGGTATTTATGCACTTGTTATTTGTTAACAACCTGCTGTAAGGGGTTTTATTAGGTGTGTGTGTGTGTATGGATTTACATGCATGCAAATCTGGGCATGGTTATTTGTCT